GATCTGTCGAGTTGTGTCTGTTTGAATCCACAGGTTTAACAGTTTTCGGCGTTAAGTGGTTGCACAAATTTGTTGTTAATTCATATTTTTTAGTAGCTGCCTGACACAGCTTACCACACTACCTTTACTTTTGTCTATTTCCTGGTGTTCCAGTTTACACTGGAATCCAAGAATGATCCAAAACGTCTGCTTTTTTTTTGATGATTGGAGAATTATTATTTCGAACATGTAAAAGCACAACACAATATAAAAAGTAAGATAAATAAAAGTGAAATGAACAGGAATATACAATGAAGAGAAAAAGAAAAAAAAGAAAAGAAAACGAGAACAGGTCGAACCTGTACACGCAACAGCTCAGTTGTTAATTCAATTGAATCAAAAGGGAGTAGGAAGAAGTGTACACTTATAAATTCCTACCCCTTCTCCTCTGCTTATTAAATTATTATTAATACTATTACTGATATATTAGAATTTACAGACTATCTTTATATTATATATATATATTGTATATAAATATCAAATGCGCTGTGCAGTGCGTTTTGACTCGCGGCTGTGCAACGTTTCTGTACGAGCGTATGCTGAACGCAGCCCGAGTGTCCGGACGCCCTTGGGTTTGTAAACGAGTGTTAGCGTCACACGGCCGGTTTTAAACGTCGTTTTATTTTAACAAAAGTGTTTTAAAAGAGTATTTAGAAAAGCGCTTTTAAATAAAATGCATTATTATTATTATTATTATTATTATTAAAGACGTAACTCGGTGGTCTGGTCGAACTAGAACAAGAACCGGTGAAATATCCATCCGCCCCTCTTCTTGGTACAACATGGTGAGAGTAAGTAGAAAACAGATGCTGCTAACTGTGTATTAACTATCAGGTGTTTAAAGTGTGGTCTTTAAACATGACTGTAATTAACTGCTGCTCTCATTAGTGTTACTTTATTACTGTATAATTCATTTAGTCAAAAGAGCTGTTGAAATTATAAATCCCAAACGTTACCTGGTTCAGAAACAGCTTAATTCTTCTTAATTAGTTACTAGTAATTAGATAAGTAAGTCTTCCCTCAATGTGTTTTTTGCACTTCTTTATATGTGAGTTGAACATTTCATTAAGTAACACAAGTGGAATAGATTTAGTGATCAGTTGTCAGATTCTCAGCACATAGAAACATCAATTGTTTTATTTATCACCAGCTGGGGAAACTGGTTTGTACAGTAAAAGCAATGAGACATAAATCAGACACCCAGTAGATGCATGAAAGTGTATCTGAAGAGCCTACCGAGCCATTAAATCAAAAAGTGAAGCAAAAAAAATACATTTATGAATAATATTTTATTTATAAGCGCTTTTCTAAAGACACTTTACATAAAAACATAAAAGCAGCAAAACAACATCAAATAGTAAAACACTGAAAACACATCAGACTAATCAAACTATAAACAGGATAATAAGCCAAACAACAATCTGAAGAACAGACTCATTGATCACAACCTGTCAAGCCAGTTAAATAAGACTTTCTAGCACTTTGTCTCTTTTGTAAATCCAAGAAACTGAACCTTGAAGCTCCATTACAACCCTGTAACTCCAGTCTAATGATACCACTTTTGTATCCCAGCAGTGACTCGTCCATATCTCCACTGAAATGTCTCTGCCAACGATCCCACGTGTCCCCTCGGCGAGGCTGCTGAGCTCCCTCCTCCTCCACCAGCAGCGCCGTCTTCTCCTCCCCTCCATCGCTCCTCTCTCTGCGCCCACAAGGTTAATTCATGCTGAATACAGACGACCCGGCAAACCCAAAGAAAACCGATGGCGCAAGGTTAACATCGACTTCTCAAAGGGTGTGGAGGGGATAAAGAAGAATTTCACGCTGCTGAAAAATGAGTTTTTTGACCGCTGGGTTGGTCCAGAAGGCAAACCGATCCTCGAGCACATGCTGGAGCAGAACCGGGTGGTGTGGGAGTTCAGAGGTCCGGAGAGCCTGGAGCACTGGACGTTGTCCTCGGATCGTGAGGTGGGAGGCCAGAGTGAAGTTTACTTGAAGCTTGGCAGAAACAGTAATACCTGTTTTCTGTACGGGACTCTGAACTCCACTCCTCCTCGAGACGGAGAAACACGCTACAGTGGCTACTGCACCATGCGCTCCAAGCAGCCACTGGTTAGTGTCCGGCTTTCTCTTCTTAAAGTTCAAATGAGGATGTTACTGTGACGTTATCCAGGCCCACTGAGCACACTGAGGCCATGTTCTCAGTATTTTCTCAGGAAATTTGTGGATTTTAGCACCTGGCTGATGTTTTTGTAGGCTGATCTCACAGCTCAGTATGTACAACCAGTAAATAAATACATGCTTCAGCTTTTCTTTGGAGACAAGTGACAGAAAATGTACTAACGGAGCTTCTTTTCTTTCAGATTTTATTGTTGAAGTAGTATATAATAGTACCAGTCAGCATGTTTTTTCTACTCTAGCAGGAAGAGACAGGAAATATTTCAGTATTTGTCATTAATCATTTTAAATACTGTGAATCGTGGTGCTTGTTTTGTGAGGTGTACTGTCTTCGTTTTCGGTTTTGTATCTTACCTCGAGTGGTATTGAATTGAAGGTCAAAAACTATAAAGCAGCTACTAAATCAATCAGAAATCAGCACCGTGTGTACCAACTTCACTCCACATGCACAATACACCAGCTGAATTTACAGACTAGTTCTTCTCACCTGTTCTTAAATTAGTAAAGTTTAACCCCCAGACTGTTGTCTCTCTCTCCCAGGCTTCATTTGATAGGAAAAAGCACCACGACTGGTCCAGTTTCAACACCCTGCATTTGCGTGTGCGTGGCGATGGCCGTCCGTGGATGATCAACCTTGCAACAGAAACGTACTTCTCTCATCAGAAAGATGACATATACAGTTATTTCCTGTACACCAGGGGAGGACCCTACTGGCAAGATGTCAAGGTGAGCGAAACGTTAAAACCCTTAAGAGTTCTGCTCAACTGCTGTATGTCGACGTACCGGGAGAAACGTCATTCTGAGACTGAAGTGCTGCTCATTCACAGATCCCTTTCTCCAAGTTCTTCCTTTCATATCGTGGGAGGATACACGACACTCAGCACCCTCTCTTGGTGGACAAGGTACAGCAAAGGAAAAGTCAAACTGACATCAAATACAAAACAAAATGAAGCCAAAACTGATCATAACTGTAGTATTATTAATTTTTTTTTTACCCCCAGTTGAGTTTATATTGTCTGAATCTTTTTGTTACAGGTAAACTCCATTGGATTTACGCTGGGGGATAAAGCCGACGGTCCGTTCCAGCTGGAGATCGATTTCATTGGCGTCTGCAAAGATTATGCACACACTGAGGAGTGTGCCTATGAGATGTACAAGAGGAATCCTGAAGTCTGAGAGGAACTCCTACAATATGATAAACAATACTGCAGATGAACGGTTATTGAAGAATAGTTCTGTTACTGAAACTACCTTCTGCCACCATCACATTTAATTTAAGATGCTGTTTATGTTTATGTGCTCTGATACTTCACAGACTATCACACGTTCCCAGAAGAAGTACGTTTCTGTTCATGAAAATAAGCAAATGTGGTCAATTCAGGACAGGATCAAGGTCTTCTTCCAACAGATAATGTCCACAACCCAGATGTTAATTAACAATAAAAATAATGAACTAACTTTTATGGGACAGATTTCATTATCAAACCTTGATTGCACACAAATGTTAGCAAGATCAATTTAATTTAAAAAATAAACGCAGACAAGTAAATCTTTTGCATCAATGTTTTTTATCAGTCTTTTACCAAAAAAAAGTAAAAAAAAACATAGCAAGCATATCAAATTTTTAAGAACAAAATTAACTGTTTAAAATGCAGCAAAACAGGACATCGATTCTCTACACGTCAGAATACATAAACGCATCATTCAGAGCTATAAAGCGGTTAAAGTAACGCACAAGTCAAATCTAAAAATCACTGCACAATAGATAGAGCGTGTCTAATTTCCCAACATCAGGCTGAAAGAATGTAGAAATAAATGGGTCAGCTGCAGACGACAAAATATTTACACTGGAACGACAGGCTGTACAAACGTCTACAAACAAACTTTTACATCATGACGAGGCCTCTTCTTGCCCCGAGCATGCTCTCCTTCTTCTGCTTCCTGTCTTCCACTTGTTTTGCCCTCCTGTCTCCCCTAAAACAGGATACAGAGACATCCGTAAGAGACAGAGTTCATCGTTATGGGAGGCAAATCAATATCAGCCAGTGCGTGCTTTTATTTTGACACATACCTTGTCTGGACCTGGTGCTGTTTGTAATTTTTCTGATGAGAGTTTGAGACCAGCGACACGTTTCCTGCCGTGTTTTCTTTGGTGTCTCCAAACGGCTTCAGTTTACCTATATTAAATAAATATAAACCGTCACAGATTTGTCTGTCTGACCATATTTCAGTGAGGCAGAGAACTTAAAAAGCGGGTTTGTACCTGTATGAGGCTTGTAGGTGAGGGGACGAGACAGACTCGCCTTCAGATCGAAGGCTGACTTCTTCTGCGTCCCGGGGGTTGTTAAAGTACTTGTGTTGCCGGTGAAAACGAATGTGCCTTTTGAAGAGAGAAAGAGAAACAACTAAATCACTCTACACACATGAGAAATTCAGATATCATTCCAAAGATCAACAAACTAAAAGTTACCTGGAGTTTTTGTGGCGGAGAAAGTCGAAGTCTTGACATTGTTGGGCTTTCCTCCATCAGCAGAGGTTTTCTGTGGGGTGCTCGAGGTCACGCAGGGCGACATGCGTGCTGGCGTCTTCACCATCGACCTCTTGTATTCATTGTCGTGAGTGGCTTCTGAAAACCTGCATACAGACACAACTGGTAGTTAAAGCATCACGATGAATACTGTGCACACGGTGCCTAGAAGAAGTATTAAACCCCATCGGACGTTTATCATCATCAAAAGATCCACTGAATCAAACCACCCGCAATAGAACAACCACATACCTTTTAAATTTAAAAAGCTGCATTCACATCATACTAAACAGTAAGTAGCGGGCAGCACTTCTCTGCAACTCATTTTCTTTAAATTCTAAATTCATTCTAAAACAAATAACCTAAAACAAAATCTACAAAAACGTCTTTGTAAGAATGTTGTAATGTTATGGACAAGAGAAGCTCGTGGCAGGAAAATAATTTGTCCCTACGAGTGACGAGCAAACATCCGAGGAAGGAAGAGCAACTGACCGAACATTGATCCTCCGGGTGGAAAGGACGGATGGTCTGAACGGAGCATCTTCCTTCCCAGCACGTTTATTCGGAGGAGCTTTACTGGCTGAGAGCAAAGTGTGTCTGCGTTTGTCCTCAGCTGCTTTCTTCTTCTCCGGGACGGGGCTGAACATGGAAGCACGACTCTGACTTGGCTTCTGTAGAATACAAACAAACAAACAAACAAACAAACAGGTCTTTACTCACACTGCAGCTGTAGAGACTGAACAATCCTGGATGCTCAACAGGTGGTGATACTTACCGCTTGAGTTTTGCCATCAGCTTGCTGCTGTTTGGGTTTGTCTGAAAGTTTCTTTTTTGAAAAAGAGAAGAAAAGGAGTACAGATTAAAAACAGCAAGTTCAGATGTAACATTTATACTTTTTGGAATTAAATCAGACAGGAAGCTTTTTCAGTACCTTCAGTTCTGTAATCTGCTTGGTCTTCCGCTGGACGTACGTGTCAATCGACTCCATCTTGTTAAAATGTGCCTCGTGGAGTTTCTTGAAGTCTACAAAAGGAGACATAATTTAATTCTCTCTAGTGGTTCAAAAGGAGATTGTGTGGGAGGGCAAAAAACAAACAAACAGAAGACTGAAGAACGAACTTACTGGGAGTCACAGGCTTCAACATCGGCTTGCTCTTCAGTTGGAGACCTTGGTAACGAGGAATTTTACCAGCTTTTGCCACTTTGGGAGGTTTTTCTGGACACACAGAATCTACGTCAAAACTTCATGTTAAAGTCAATAATCTCTGAAGAACATGTACTCCATGAATGAACCGTTACTGACCTGCCTCACCGTGCACAGGTGCTTCATCCTTACTGACTGACGGCTCACTGCCAGCGGCCTGAGGATCCTCCAGAGGCTCAGTTTCGTCAGGATCGTTGGTGGACGACACTTTTCTCTTCTTAGCGCCCTGACGTGCCGCCACCTCAGTGTCAGCCTTAAGGGAACAACAGTTGTTTAAGGCTCAGATCCTCATGCAACAAAACAAACCCCGTGCACGGGGATAAACACGATGTGGAATACCTCTGCAGCACTCGGAGGAAGCTTGGAGTCACACTCAGTCCCAGTTTTAGTATCAGAGATCTTCCTCTTGGTACCGTTTCCTTTGCCTCGGCGTGTGTTCACAAACACAGCGGGGCTGGAGACTTCTTCAGTTTCCTGAGTGCTCTCTTGTGACACATGCTCGTCTTGTTGGACAACAGCGGCATCCGTCTCTTGTCCCTGGAAAACACCACAGCAACACACACCGATATGTAACCAATGATGGATAGATAGATTATTTATCCTGAGGGAAATTCAGGTATCCAGTAGCATACAAAATACAAAATATACATTAAAAACCCTAACCTTAAGAATAGAATTTAAAATAAAATGAAACATAAATATAAAGTATATGTATAAAATACTGTATAAAAAATAGTTATATTATTTATTGATTTATATTTATTTAGGATAATAAAATAAAAGATGAATATAAAGTATATATATATATATATTAAGTAGTGGTTGTATAAGTATTGATAGAGGGTAATTGGCATGTCTTTTCTGCATCATATCAGTAAATTGCTACTTGAACATTTACTCATAATGTAAACCGTTGTAGGGGTTGACTATAATTACTGACTATGGGATCTTTTTTATGTTGCAACCTATTAGCATATATTAGTGGCAATAGATGATAAAAGGTAAAATAGAAGTATACAAAAATCAAAAGAACGTAATTAGACATAATAACAATTAATTTAAGTGAATATTTTAGAATATTTATTAGATCAAGTGACATTGCATTATTAAGACTCAAGTATGTGCGCAGTTATAATATACTCTCATTTTCTTCTCTGTTTTATGTGGTATAAGATGAAACCTTGGATCACAGAGATCATAGTAACTAGGCGCAATCAAATGCAGGAGAAAATAAGACTAGAAAGTCCAATGTGATAAACACGTCGTGTGTCAGCTGAGCTTGCAGTCATGTTTGTAGGGGATATTGATAAAAAAAGCACGTAGTGAAGAAGCTGATAACACTGGCCGCCTGTATATATGTGCTACTTCCCCATCTGGTCCCTGCTTCCTCATGGTCTGCAGTAGGGAATAGCAGTAACAGTGCCTCAAGTTATGGAATAGGGTGTAATGTTTTTATAGATGACTGGGTCTTAAACAAACTCTTTCCACATTCCCAAAGCTTATTTTATTAAGTAATGGAAAATAAAAGATAATTATAAAGATTGCACTGTAAGGACGTGACCTCTGGCCATGCAATAGCTTGCTGCTAGTCAAGAACTGACGCGAGTCTGAGTATGAGCGTATTTATTTATTTTTTATGCACATTTATTGTAGGATAATTTAAATTAAGATGAGATGAATATAAAGTGCTAGCATAACATAATTACACATGTACAACACTATATATGTGGTATACACTAATCAATAGGATTAGGGTTGATTATATTACAATTGGCACTATTTTCAAAGATTCTTTGGACTAAGATATGAGGT